TTTTTTTTTGATGACTTTGCCTTCTGTGACTTAAGAGGGCATTTCCTGTCACAAAACAAACTTGCTCTTCCGTCTCTCTCAGAATAACATTTTAGAGGGCTAAATCACACAACTGTGTTTTCCTGTGGAGGGGAGTTGATTTTCCCACCTGGAAATGGAACCTTCTGAGGTAGGGCCCCTCTGTTTGTCCTCTCTACCTTGCATTCCCACAGCAGCCGCATCTGGTGGATGCTGGTCCTGACATTGACTTTGGAGAAGTGGCCTTGGTAGCCTGAGTAGACCAGTCCTCCCTTAAGCCCAGGCATGAGCTCTAGATTGGGAAGAGAATCCAGGAAGGGAGCAAGAAGGCTCGTGACTCCTGCCTGTCTTGTGTTAGGTGGGAGAACTCTTGGAGTCAAATGATGAAGTCATTATTCTGAATTTAATTTCTTTTTTTTTTTTTTTTTTGAGACAAAGTTTCACTCTGTCACGAAGGATGGAGTGCCATGGTGCGATCTCTGCTCACTGCAACCTCAGTCTCCTGAATAGCTGGGATTAAAGGTGCCTGCCACCACACCTGGCTGATTTTTGCATTTTTAGTAGAGACAGGGGTTCACTGTGTTAGCAAGGCTGGTCTCATACTCCTGACCTCAAGTGATCTGCCTGCCTCTGCCTCTCAAAGTGCTGGATTATAGATATAAGCAACATGCCCAGCCCTGAATTTCTTATAAGAAGAAATCTGATTCCCCTTCCTTAGGGGTATCATTGCCACTTGTTTTCCTTGTAAGGAAAATGAGGCTTACCAAAGCTAAATGTCTAGATTTAATGTTATGCCATGTTAAGAACCCAGGTCTAATTTCTGTGTAGAATCCACTGTAGTATTATAATAGGAAAGGATGCTTTGATGACTTTCTTACTACTCAGCTGACGCCCATATTATTCATCCTGTGAAGGAAGTGCTGCTATCCCTATTTTACAGATGAGAAAACTGAGCCTCAGAGAGATTAGGTCCTATAACCACGGGCATACCTCCAGTAAATAGAAGCACCAGAGCTGAAACTCAGAGTTCCTGCCTTCCCCCACCACTGTTCTCTCAAAGGATTTGCAGAAGTACACAAAGCTACCCTGAGAAGAAAAGCGCATTCTTCCCTCCTCTCCCCACCCCCAAATCCATCAATTAGCACAGGTGCTATTAGCAAATTGTCTCCACCAAGTGGACACTTTTTTTTTTTTCTGTTTTTGTTTTTTGCTGATTTGCAAAATAAAGTATACATCATTTGGAAAACACTTTTAAGGAACACCTTGAAGGTTTCCCTCCAACAGAGTTCATTAATTTAAAGTCGCTTTATATTACTATTTGGAAATTTCACAGCTGAATGAGCTTGTGGTTTCTGTTTATTGTTAACCCATACGTCTTTCAAAGCACCACTTGAACTTCAGCTGAGAATGATTTTCAGCCAGCTTGTTTTTAGTGTATGCCCATCCATTTTTGCTAGCGGGAATGCTTGCCATTTCTCCCAGGAGAACTAACTATAAATTATACTTCAGAGAACTTCTAAGTAAATATGTTCATGCCTCAGCACCTTAATGTGTTAATTAGCTATTAACGGTGTCAGTAAATTAGACCTGTCAGAAATAATGGCCTCCTTGACTAGGTTTTACTACCACTTCTCCTGATGGAATTACTTATAAGTTTTGCCCTCAGGAACTGTTAGAAAGCAAGGCTGTCCAGGTCTGCTTTGCAAAAGATAAACTCTGAAAGGGTTTGTTGGAATCATCTTGGGCCTGATCTGTGGGCGTCGTAAGGACTGGTAGCCTTAGAACACTTGAGAATACAAATCTCAGGCTTATCAGCAACTAACTCCATTACATTTATGGCGGTCAGGGGAGTTTATTCCCTGTTCTTTGCTCTCCATTTCGGAAAATCTGGGGCCAATGATTGTCCTTGGAAATTGCCATTTTTTTTTTGAGACGGGGGTTTCACTGTGTTGGCCAGGATGGTCTCGATCTCCTGACCTCGTGATCCGCCCGCCTTGGCCTCCCAAAGTGCTGGGATTACAGGTGTGAGCCACCGTGCCTGGTGTAAATTGCCGCCTTTGTGCATGCCCCAAATTAGGAAGTTATTGCTACTGTCCATGCTGGAGAAAGGTACCTCACCTTCCAAATCCGGGTTCTGGTTGGCACAAAAGAAGGACCTGACCAGATCAGAATCTGCCCTGCCCACCTCTCCTCTCGTGCTTGTGTCAAGAGACCAAAGCGGGTCCTGCTGCCAGTACCAAGGCTGGGATGGGACACCTCAGAGTGAGAAACTCGGGGAAAAATGTTATGAGTGGTGATTACATAGAGTTTAAAGACTACTGTAATTTTCCCTGTCATATTAAGAGTCGAATGGGTATGCCTGGGATTCTACCCACTGTTTATCACCTGGGAAATGCATTCCACATTCTAAATGACCAGATGATAGAATTTAACCTTTGGTAAATTCCCAACAACTTGCATTTTCTGTTAACAAAGCATGGAAGATAACTAAAGGAAACGCAAATTATGGTGCATGCTAATGTTTTCTAGGAGCATATATAAATAGATGAGGCCCCATTTTTTGTTTATTTAATGACTGCAGTCGGAGTCAGCTATAAAACCGCCAAACCATAGATTAAAATGAATTTCACAAAAAGAATGAAGCCACACTGTTCCAGTTGCCCTGGTGGGAAGTGATGAACCAGTTATCCTCGCAGGCTCTGTTGAATCTTGTGAGGGACTGACAGGCTTCCTCTCCCTGTCTTGCCTCTACCTGCTGTCTGGTCTCTGGCTGGGGAGCTTGAGGACTGAAGTTTAAAATAGAACTGCTTCAGCACTTGGCAGCAGAGACCCAAATAGCCCTGCAGCACAGTAATTGCTATGAAAGAAGCCTCCATTATCCTGTTTTGCTAAAATAAATTTGCTTGCTGTTTTTGATAGCCACAGTGTTGGTGAAATGGCTTTTTGTGTGGAAATAGTTCACACTACACAAGAGAAGGTCATTGTCCTTGCAGTCTGCATTTGTGAGAGGCTAAAGTGTTTACAATTAAGTAGGGCAGCTCCGGTTTGCTCTTCAAAAATGGGTCCAAGGAATTGGAGTAAAACTTCAATTTCATTCTTTTCCAAAGAAACACAGGCTGGGGCCAGGTTCGGTAGCTCATGCCTGTAATCCCACCATTTTGGAGATCAAGACAAGAGGATTGCTTGAAGCCAGGAATTCTAGACTAATCTGGGCAATATAGCAAGACACTGTCTCTTGAAAAACTTTAAAAATTAGCCATAGGTGGTGTCAAGTGCCTATGGTTTCAGCTATTTAGAAGGCTGAAGCAGGAGGATCTCTTGAACCCAGGAATTTGAGGCTGCAGTGAGCTATAATTGTGCCGCTGCACACCAGCCTGGGTGACAAAAGTGAGATCCTGTCTTAGAAAAACAAAAGAAAAAAGAAACATGGACTGGAGGCCATTAGTATTTATTCCCTAAATTCATGATTATCGTGGTCTTGGAATTATTATTTATTATGGCTTTGCTTGAACACCAATAATAAATAACTTGTTGTATCTTGGCACATAAGAGGTTTTTTCTAGTTAAAAAGTTTAATTCCAAGTGTAAACCTGGTGTAGGTATATATGTTCATTTGCTTAGCAAATATTTACTTACACCCAGTATGTGCTACTATTACTATTTTAGATTGAAATATGGCATTGTTTCAGGCTGAAATGAAAATGGTTTATGTGGTAAAAGTTTATTAGTTTAAACCCTGTTAATGTAAAAACCTGGAAAAAAGCCACACTGAAGTTTACACTCTACCCTGACTATGCAAGTAAAAATATGTGACCAAGAAAACGAATAGCGCAGGAAGGATGAACAAATGAACTGACAGAACATACTTTTTAGGGTACTTTTTTTTTGTGGGACGGAGTCTTGCTCTGTCGTCCAGGTTGGTGGAGTGCAGTGGCACAATCTCGGTTCACTGCAACCTCTGCTACCCCAGGCTCAAGCAGTTCTCCTGCCTCAGCTTCCCAAGTAGCTGGGACTACAGGCGTGTGCCACCACGCCCAGCAAATTTTTGTATTTTTAGTAGAGATGAGGTTTCACCATATTGGCCAGGATGGTCTTGATCTCTTGACCTTGTGATCCTCCTGCCTCAGCTAAATTTTGTATTTTTAGTAGAGACGGGGTTTCACCATGTTGGCCAGGATGGTCTCGATCTCTTGACCTCGTGATCTGCCTGCCTCCCAAAGTGCTGAGATTACAGGCGTAATCCACTGCACCCGGCCACTTTTTAGGTTACTTTAAAGGTGTTCATTCATTTGCAGGAGAACAGTTGATTTAATCACTATAAATTACTCTTTTACAAAACAGTGCTTTTTAAAACCCAGTTTTATTATATATGCCCTGGAAACAATAGTACTTCGCTAAGATATTTCCTGGCTTAGACCCCCCATGGTTCATGATGATACTCCAGTTAGTCTCCTATTAATAAGCTTTCACTAGTATTGGGAGGTTTGACTCTTTGGAGTTCTTTCTGCTGCCCAATTATAAATCTTATAATTTGATAATGTCAAAACCATTAAAATACCCTTTTAAGGTCCAATGAGCAGAGGAGCTAGAGAGTTCTAATGGTGCATTTCACAGTGAAAGGCAATGTTATATGGAATTTGTAGTCTGATTTGGGATGGAATCCATGTCTGCCACTTTCAAACTCACCTCTGGTAAGTCACATAACCTTGGTGTGCCTCAGTTTCCTCATCAGTGAATATGGGAATGATAACACTCAGAGATCTATCCTGAGGGTTGCACATTAACAGCACTTCACAGCGTGAAACCTACAACAGGCACTTCCGGTAGATTAACTTGCTTTCCTTTCTTGCTTGTCTTGCCACGTTTTCACCATTACAGTTATCTTTTTGGAAAACAACCATCCAGAATGACAACGTAAATGAGGATTTCTTCCTGGACAGCCACACGCTTTATGTAACATAAATGACCTACTCTAATTGCAGGTTATATCCAGGCATGTAGAGGACTTATGATCGCTGCTGTCAGCCTGGGCTTCTTTGGTTCCATATTTGCACTCTTTGGAATGAAGTGTACCAAAGTTGGAGGCTCCGATAAAGCCAAAGCTAAGATTGCTTGTTTGGCCGGGATTGTGTTCATACTGTCAGGTAAATAGTAACTTTCTTCCAAACAAGGTACTTGATGATGTTAATGAAATCACACTCACCACAGTGCTTTCCCTCTGATACTTGTTAGGGCTGTGCTCAATGACTGGCTGTTCCCTGTATGCAAACAAAATCACAACGGAATTCTTTGATCCCCTCTTTGTGGAGCAAAAGTAAGTACTCTTCTCAGTTTGTTTCTAGCTCACAGGAAATGTATGTAAATTAATATTTTCAACTAAGAGACATGAATTTCCTATATGGCTTTTGAAAGTGAGACATACTGATAAATGGTAACCGATGACATCATTCAAGATTAAATGTGTAATGTGCCACATAGGCAAAAGATGCATTTAATTACTTTGCTAGCGTTATGGTGTCTTGTCTCTAAATAGTTCAAGGCATCAAATTTAGAACTATAAGCTTCATCATCTCTGCTTTACATCATAAAATTGAGGTCAAGTAAAGTGAAAGCGTCAGACAGGGAGAAAAGAATGATGCAGTGTGAGAATAGAAGATTAAAAGCTCGCCTTGATTGTTGTCTACTCAAAATGATATTTGCCAGATGCTAGTTTCTGGGTGTTTTAAATTTGCTCTGTTAACTACTGTCTTAACAAGCTTCACCTAATAAACCTTTATAAGGAAACTGTACACGATGCAAGGTTTTAAAAAATGCTGTAGGAGGACAGTGGCTTTACCCAGATGTGGCTGGTCTGTGTTGCAGATGAATGCTTTGGAATTAACAGATTGGTTTGCTTGTTGGTGTTGTTTTTAAACTATTGGCTGTTGCTTTTCATAGTTTTCCTAGGCTTATTTCTTTGGATTGGGAAAACCCCAGGGATACCAAATCAGAATTAATATTTTAAATATTTTGTCTTATCAGAGACTGTATCTACCTCCCTCTTTAGGAAGCCGCACGTATATATGTGTGCATTGCTGTCAGGGAGGCTGGAATTTTATTTTAGACATCAGGTCAAATATTGTAGAATTTTTAAGAAGCGTATTACTGAAATAAGTGGTCAGCTGGGCTTTGCTGGTGGTTTTTTTCTTTCTGGTGGTTTTAGGAATCTTCAGGAAATTGATTTTCTAGTTCTGTCTTAAGTGTGGCTTATGCATAAATAGTAAATGCTTACATCATGAAATACAATGAAAATAATAGCCCAAGTTGAGTCCCTACCAGGTACCAACCAGAGCATTGCAAATATTATTTTATTATGTTATTTTATTTTATTCTTGCAATAACCTTATGAAGTAGGTCCTCTTGGTATTTTTTTTTTTTTTTTTAATGGAGGAAAGAGGCCAAGTAATGTGTTCAGGGGAAGTTGGACCAAACAAGTAGGCTGGTTGAGCAGTCAATTAAATCAGGCAGTTGAACGTCAGAACACTGGCTCTTAAAATGCATGATTTGTAATATTCCATTATTTTGTAATTTTGTGAAATATGCTGCATATACTGTTTAAGGGGAAACATATTTTAATGATATTTAAATAAAATATTGTATTTAAATGATACAGTTTTGTTTTAGGATTTGATATCATAAATATGAAACAAACCTTTATTTCTCATGGTTTATTTTATTCAACACATCGCTGACTTTTGTGTATTATCTTTTCTATGTTACTGTTTTTATTTTCCTGACAATTGTTAAGGATATCCTTGTTTATATCTTAAAAATCAGTGGAATCTTTCCTCAAATGATCAAGGTTAATTTATATACAAACAATAACTTAAAGCTATCTTTGTGTGACTGTTTTCCGTACTTGCTGCAGCTCAGTCAGTCACCTAATTCGGTTTAGTGCCATTGGAATTTCGTATTCTCTTTTCAGATTTTGGTTAAACTCAGTTCAGTCATTAGGTGCTATGAGAGGTTTTCCTCTTTTTCAAATTCTTAGTGGTACATTGAGCTATTCCATTTTCATTGTAGCTTGGCATTTCTCTTTCTATCTCTGCCCACTCTCTCTCTTTCAGTCTGTATTCTGTATGTAAAACAAATAATAGTACTCCTCTGATAGAATTGCCGTGAAAGTTGAAAGGAGATATATGGGATGTGGAGGATGCCACTATAGGAATGTTGGTGTCTTAATCAACTGGCATGAGAATTAAGTTCCTTGAGGTCAGAAAACATCTGTACAACTCTGTCTTCTTTGCCTAGCACAGTACCTAGAAGTGAAATTCTTAATCTGTAGACCTAGTCCTTTCAGAATTAACAGAGAAGCTTCCCATTGTCTCAGTGGATAGAGGGAGCCTCCCAGAGGATGGAGCAAGAAGGCTCTCTTCTTCCCATTATTATCATACATTAATCTTACAAAAACTAGCTCCACTAAATACCGTCTCTCCCTGCAGGAGTGTGTGGATTTGGGCCCTTAGGAAGCAGAGTGAGAGACAGCTACTTGCCACATGTTCCAGTTTAAATTTCTGGTGAGCAAATACTTGCTCTCCAATACCTAAACCCTAAAACTTTGGAAAATAGTTTAGACCTCAGAGCATGATTTTGTTGTTCTTGCTTTGCTGCTGCTGCTGTTGTTTTTCTTCAGAATTGTATGTTGTATTAACTGGATCTTCTTTGTAGATTTCCAGGACAACTCTATATAAGGCACATCTTGGTTGCCCAGGTTAGGAAAACACAACTAAAGCTCACGAACCAAGTTCCTGCTACATTCCTGCTATGTGCAAGGAACTCAACGGGAGCTTTGTTGATGAGAAAAAATGAGTGCCTTCTAGCATGGAGCTGGAGTAAAGATTGCAGCAGGCACGCGGCAGGCAGTATGGCACTCTGTGTTCAGTGGCTAGTCCCTCTAAATGCCCTTCCTTTCCCACCGCGTATCTGGGAAGATTTTTCTTCCAAGCTACAATCATTTGACAGAATTGCAATCTGTAAAGAGTTTCATTGTGTTCTGCTATTTCCCCATTTTTCCTTTCTGTTTGCTTGCTTTCATTCAATTTCATTTCATTTTATGATTATGTTTGCTGACTCCCGCATGAGCTCTTGTGAAGCCTGGAAAACTGTTTTTCAACCTTTCCCTTTAGGCTGTGTCAAGCCGACCTCCTCCTTTTTATTAAAATGAAACCTAACAAATTAAAAAAAAAATCTCCTACAAGCTTGTAGTAATAGGTACTCCTTAGCATGATTCACCATACCAGGATGTCGAAATGTCATTACGTTATTCACACCATTGTTTTGTTGTCCAGTCCACTAACTTTCTGAATGTCCTGCTTTGTTGCCTTAGAGAAACTATTCCAAATAAGAATTGATTAACATTAAGAAACTTCTTTTCAAATCATGCAAAGTGACACCATTTAATCAATTGCTCTGGTTGAGGAAGTAGAACAGAATTGTCTTAGACTTAGACTTATTTTTTCTCATATGAGATTTACCATTAATATTTTGGACCAGATATTCTCTATTCTGGTGTTGGGGTCTTATCCTCTAGGTTTTTTTATTTCCAGACTTTTCAAAATCACATTGCACTTCTCATTCCTGGCATTTGTTTGGTTTCTACTTTAGGATTTAAGCTTAAGTAGGCAAAATCTTTTCACCATTGTGGCTAATTAGTAGTTAGAAATAAACAACTACCTACTTTCAGACAAATTCTCTCATTCTTGTCAAGTTGAATGGACAGTAGACAATGTAAGAAGTAAATTTCTAGATTATACAGATTTTCCTAAGTGAGATGGAAAAGAATATTGACTTTACTGGGTGACCTTGTCGAGATATTTAATTTCTCTCTTCTGTACTTATTATAATTTAATACATTATGAATATTTGTTTATTTAAGTTTGTTCCATTCATGAGGTTATTTGGAGGATGAACTAATGTTGATCTCATAGATTCTTAGATAGGAGATTCTAGATAAGTGCCAAGTGGTAAGAACAAAACAGAGTTCAACTGTTAAATATTAAGAAAATGTAATTCAGTGGTTTCAGCTTGTTCAGAAGTAGCGTAGGCCACCTCAGATCACCAGAATTACTTTGATATGCTTTTGTTGTGCTAGAATGACTTAAAAATCTGCGTGGGGACTAAATATTTGTTGCTTACTTTTTTGTTCTTTGGTTTTTTTTTTTTTTTGACACGGAGTTTCGCTGTTGTTACCCAGGCTGGAGTGCAATGGCGTGATCTCGGCTCACCGCAACCTCCGCCTCCTGGGTTCAGGCAATTCTCCTGCCTCGGCCTCCTGAGTAGCTGGGATTACAGGCACGCGCCACCATGCCCAGCTGATTTTTTGTATTTTTAGTAGAGATGGGGTTTCACCATGTTGACCAGGATGGTCTCGATCTCTTGACCTCGTGATCCACCCGCCTCGGCCTCCCAAAGTGCTGGGATTACAGGCGTGAGTCACCGCACCCAGCCCGCTTACTTATGTTTTTACTGACCAGTTTGTATCATGATTTCTGCCGGTGTGCCCTGCTTTCTGGTAATTCAGCTCTTACTCCCATTGCTCCTCTCCTTTTCACATCCTGGCTAACCTCTGATCAGCCTTCAGGACCTGCATTCTGGGTGGGGTGTCCCTGTTTTGGGTGCTCCCTTTTCCACCTCATGCTTCCTTCCATCCTAACCCTACTGGGTGGTTTGCACCTGCTTATTTATTGGCTGCTCTCCTAAACAAAACCATCAGCATCTAAAAGTCAAAACCACACATTGCGTGCTTTGGAATCTCTTGTAGCTGACCTAAGCTCCATGACCCTTAAGCAAGGATGGTAAATCTGCGGTAGCGTAGGACTGTCTGCCCATCTGCATCTCTCCTAGAATAGTAAAAAGGAATGTGCTTGTGGTGACCGCCTAAAGGAACAGGGAGAGGCAGCATGGCACTCTGTTCAAGAATAAGGACTCTGGATCCAGGCCACTGAGAGTAAAACCTCGCTCTGCTACTTTCTAGCTGTGTAACCCTGAAGAAGTTACTTATCTTTTCTGTACCTGGTGTCCCTCATCAGTAGAATGGGGATAATACATACTAGGAGGTTGTTGTAAGGATGAAATGAGATAGTACACTTCAACTGTTTAGAATCATGCTAGTAGATAGTAAACACTTACTTACTAAATGCTAGCTACTATTTTTAGGGATGCTGACCCTAATGCAGAGTATATTAATGTATAGTACATTACCTTATTTAGTCTGTTAAGGTTAGCTACAGAGAAATGTATGTTGAAATGTTGGAAACCTAGTAGAAGGGATAATTG